CCTGCCTCAGCCTCCCGAGTAACTGGTACTACAGGTGCACCATGCCCAGCTAATTTTTGTGTTTTAGTAGAGACAGGGTTTATCCATATTGGCCAAGATGGTCTCAATCTCCTGACCTCATGATCCAGCCACCTCAGCCTCCCCATGCTGGGATTACAAGCATGAGCCACCGTGCCCAGCCATAAACCTTGATTTGACCACAAGTTAAAACTAAGTCGTCAAATCTGAAGCTGGGCTGTGACTGCTAGCCAGGTTCTTAGAGGATTTCGCTGTGAAATGAAAGCTCTCCCAACCTACCCCTGCTTCTGAAAGTGTCTGCTAGACACGGTGACTTCCTTTCAAAGTCCATGCCATATTCTGCTTTTTCCAGCACAGCCGGTCAGAAAAACCCAAATTTAAAGTCCCTCAGGAGAACCACAATGCACATAGATCGCCGTTTGGGGAACCTGGCCAGCCCGCCCTGTTCACAGAGTGGCACATTCAGCATGTCAGACACGCCACGCAATTCCGCGTTCACTTGATGATTACACGAAGAGCAGCATTCTGAAGGAAGGGTCTGCCCAGCCACCAGCAGCTGATTCATTATTTATATATAATTAAAGGGCAGGGTTCAAGTGAATGCCCAGCATCTGGGAAAAGTCATTATTTATGTACGTATCAGATTGAGCCTTTGTCATTTCTCTGGTGACTTAACATACTCCCTGTGCCTTGGGACTCATGTTAAGCAGAAGAGATACTTTAACTCCTTTATTTAAATTGTTGGTCTTATTCCACCTTTTCAGATTATCTGGGCTCGTTTAAAACTAGCCCTTGCTTCTCCTTCATATATTAAAATAGGAAAGGAGGAAATTTTCTTTTTAGAGCCTATTGCTTTCTGTAGGTGAATGCAAATGATTCGGCTATGCTTCTTAATGACCCACTATTAACATAGTAGAAAACTCAGTGCATTAATGCAATACCTCTTTTCACATCATTACTCCTAATGGAACGGTTACCAGGATAATAGCTTGACCTTTAGCTATAGATTCAGGTAGCAAAAATGCATTCTGTCTCCCCAATACCTCTATTCACATAGCGTATTGACTGTTTGCAGATCAATGCAATGCCAGTCTTTTGGCCTTCTTCTTGAGGTCTCATCTGCTATCGTAACGGAGAGAATAGGATTTTGTCTTCAGTAGGGAAATTCTAGTTAAAAGTCTCTTTTAAGTTTAGATGTAATCCATGAACTAGAGTGTCAGTAACATGCCCAGTGGAAATATTTATTTGAATAGGTATTTTTTGAAAAGCCTATTGCTGCACCTTCAAAGGTCTTAGACACAAACCCGGGAGAGATTGATTTTCTTGGCTTTTTTCTATTGCAACCAAATTTGTTTCCGCTGAGGCTGGAAAAAAAAATAACCAGACATGGCTGCCCTTTTAGTGACTGAGGGAATATTTGAGCTCAGGGTTGGACTAGAAAGGTCTGATCTGAACCCCTTCATGACGTGGGAGCAGAGCCCCTTTGGCTTATCTTAAATTTGTCTGTCCACACCCATGGGAATCATTCAATTTGGCATAGTCTAAATCCACTTTGCTAATTTGGAACCATGACTTTCTAATGTGTGCTAATTTGGACACATGCTTTTCACAACCCAAGAAAAGAGGGGTTGCTATGGAAATTAACTATATAATATTACAAGGGGGGAGATGCTTACCTGCTGAGACGGTGGATTCAGTCATTTTTGTAGTACACATTTTTATATAAATGGAGAGGATGCTAAATAGAAATATTTTGTTCTGTTTATTAAAATAGGACTTCAAGAACCTTTTGGAAATTATCTGATTAGTCAATGTTCTTGTGGGCATTTGAATGCAATAAGACCTTGCTGCTTTAAATAGATTAATTAAAGACTTCCTGCTAATTCAGACAGACCATTTTCCCCCCAATTAGTCTAAATTTGTAAGCTAATGTTTTTGCTCCATTAGAAAGAAAACTGGAAAATATGTTTCCCTATTTATCAAATGCTTGAGTTCTTCTTCAGAAAAAGGCATTATAGTAGGTGCTTTGAGGGAGACAAAAGAGATGAAGACCCTGAAGTTACTTACAATCTAGTGGCAGAGATTTGAAAGCACCCACCCCCAGGGAGAGCACTTCTTCTGCATCTCCCCCACTTGCTCTCCCGGTCCCCGCATATCAGACACTGGGCTGCCTGGTTGACTCCCTTCCCAGTCATTAATTCTGCTTCTAACCATCACTGCCCCTCTCCCCAGGTGGGGCTTCGATGGACCCTTTCCACTACAGCTCTTATCGTAGCCCTACATGTTCCTCTCGCTCCCCGGCCCCACTGTCATCCTGATCACGTCCCCGTCCACGTGACCAATGGCCTAGCCATTCACCGCTGCTGCGTGTCAGCCCCGCACTACTGGTCACACCTGAGCATCCTCAGCTGCTAGAGGATGCTCCGGTATCTCAGGGGTCAGTTCTTCCAGCGCCACGACCCCTGCTTGGCAACCAGTGACATCTGCATTCCCTGATCTCTATAGACATCTCCAAGCCCACGAGCCTTTTTCTGTTTTCATGTCCTTCCAAGATCTGGGGGTGAAAGAAAGGGGAAGAAGTGGAAAGGTGGGTTCATTCATGCCAGGTCACACCCTCAAGGGCCTCTATCGCTGTTCTTCTGCCAGAACTGTCCAGCGAAATCCTGAGCCTAGACCAGCCCTACCATCCATTGTCCTGAAGGAGCTGCAGGGGACTGAGGGGGACAGCCTGCATAGACTGTGGCCACGCCACGTGGCCCTACCACATAGCCTGTCTGCGGGTTGTCCATTGTCTGCTTCCTCTCTGATTCTTCTCAGAGATGACCCCACACTGCCTCCACGCCCTCCATCCTGCAGAGCCCCTCACCCCTGAGCTCACTGAGGCTGTACGTTCTGCATCCGCAGATTCAACCAGCTGTAGATGGACAATATCCTGGGAAAAAAAATTCAATGCAACAATAAAAAGTAATGCAAATAGGCCGGGAGCCCCTCCGCTGCTATTGTATATGCCGGTATCTCAGGGCACAATTGAACAAGTTGCTTAAGGTCTCACTTGATTGCCCAGGCTGGAGTGTCATGGTGTGATCATAGCTTACTGCAGCCTCGAACTCCTAGGCTCAAGCGATCCTCCTGCCTCAGCTTCCTAAGTAGCTGGGACCACAGGCTTGCACTGTCACTCTCAGATGATTGATTGATTGAGACAGGGTCTCACTGTGTTACCCAGGCTGGTCTCAAACTCCTGGCCTCAAGCAACCCTCCCAACTTAGCCTCCTAAAGTTTCGAAATTATAGGCATGACCCGCCATGCCTGGCTTGTATCAGGGACTTGAACATCTGCACATTGTGGTATCTGCTGGGGGTCCTGGAACCAGGACTGTCTGCCAGCTCCACAAACACCCCAAACTCAGCATGCTCCAGAGCAAGCCTGCGATGTCCTCTTAGCTCACACACCTTCCCTGTCTTCTTTTTACCGCATCATGTGATTAACCAAACAATGCCAGTTCTCTGAGAGGCCCTAGATGCTTCACTAGCTCATACTTCGGCAGTCGCTTCCTGAAGGGGAGCCCCCTGCTTCACTCTGGGCTCCCTGAAATGTGTCTGCCACTCTAGTGACATCCATCCCTCCTGCGGAAGTGGATTGTTTCTGTGCGTTTGACTGTAGAGATCATGTATAGCTGCTTTTCTTCTTTCAAGTGATTTCCCTAGGATAAATTTCCAAGAGGAAGATTACCAGTCCAAAGCTACAACAGTTTTATCTCTCCCATTAAATATTACTCTTATTTCTCTAAAGAGTTTTTGCCTATTTGCACCAACAGGAATGTTTGAATGTGCCATGTCTGCACAATTTTATCTGGATCAAGTATTAGCTTTCTGACATCGTTTTTCTAACCTTAGTAGGTATCAGGTGTGTTTTGCAGTTCTTTGGTTTACATATTATTTGAACTTTTTTCTAATATTTTTTGTTAATTTTTTTTTTTTTTTTTGCCTATTTATCCATGGAACTTTCAAAGCTGCTCTTTTATTTGAATGAGCTTTGTCTGCTGGCAGATAGTGAACCTTTTTGGTCACATTTAGTACAACTAGCTTTTCTCATTCTGATGGAATGTCTTATTTTTCATTCAATAGACATTTTACCTTTTTCTGTAGTTGAATCTGTCAATATTATTTTTAAGCAAAACCTTTTAAAACATTGAAATTATCAGTATCTTAAATACCAAGGAGGCAATGTGATGCGATGGCCTACCAGATCTTGGCCTCAGGAAGAACAAGCTGAAAAGATGAGTTTAAACGTGCCTGGGAGTGAGTGTGAGGCCGAAATGTCCACACCAGCACCGCGCATGCGGCCACACACTGTGCACAGCCCACCCACAATCATCGTGCTGCCTCCCTGGGTTCCGGCCCTGGGCTTCTCCTTAGTTCCCTTTGGGCTTCATCGGGTAGTTCTTTCCTGGGAGCTCGTGCCATGTGCAAGGGATTGACTTGAGACAGAATTGGAACTTTTATCATGACACCAACCGCATTATTATTTGAGGGCTGATTGAGTTAGTAGAAATCACCATGAGAAAGACCGTCATTTCGTGTAATTTCACATTCAATTTTGAATTGACAACAGAAGAGTGAACTCTTTTAGTACATTTGTTAGACCTCGTCATAAGGTCTAACAGTAGACCCTTAGGAAGCATTTTTCTCTCTGCCTATAAGACACGTAACGCATGGATGCAGCACCAGTAGGAAGAGCAGTTTCCAGACAGACTACTTAGTGAGTATCACCAGTTTCATTTTGAAGCACAATGCATTGGATGTAGCCAGGGCTTGCTAATCCATCTTTGCCAAAAAAATATAACACAGATATTGAACATATATCGTGCAGAACTGACATCCTTTAGAAGTACACTTTTGTTTTCTTTTTAGAATATATTTCTGTTTCAGATCTGCATATTTTCCTTGTTAAGGTATTTAACAATATTTTACATTTTCTTTTAGTCTTCACAGAAAAGTACTGTACAGCTAACCATGTGGATAAGCTTCCTGGCCCAAGAGATTGGGTACAGATTCTACAGGATCAAATTAAACTGGCCAGAAGAAGGTTAAAAAGAGGCTCAGGTATGACTAAGTTGCAAAAAAATAATTGCAGAAGCACTTACGAATTCTTAGGCTTTGTAAAGTACAATACTTGACTCTAGGTTATTTCAGTGTCTTTTCTTCTGAAGGAGACACTGTGTATAATATGCTATGATTTGCTCTCAAAGTCTCATTCAAGTGAATTTTGAAACTCACCTTCAGACTAAATCGTAAAAATTATGTCAATTTGCTTTGAGTAGTACAAGTGAAAAAGAGTGCTGATCTCCTTTGTGGTCTAATGCGTCTTATATATGAAAACTGGATCTCTCTTTGTGGTTTGCTTCTGTTTGCCTATTGATTTTTGTTTGTTTGGATCTGCATGACTTTATAAAAGTACGAGTTATTTAAGGTAATTTAAAAAAGAAAAAAAGAAGGGGAAGAAAGAAATTCTTCTACCAGAAACAGAACATCAAGTAAAAGGGATTTTAAGGGGGTGTGTGTGTCGGGCGGGGGGGGGGGCGGTTGTGGGTTTAAAATTCTGCACTTGGAGATTCTGGGATTATTCTTCCAGGAAAAGTGAGCACCAGCTGAATTCTGACTATTCAGATTTGATCACTGAAGTCTCAGCTTCCCCAAAGTGACAGTGGGGGCCAATTTACTAGTGAAGAATCCCTGTGGGTTTGGCCTTCTCCTATCAAATGAGAATAATTATCTCTAGGAGGCCACAAATCTCTAGATGCTATTTTTAAATTTCATATAAATTCACATAGCCATTATGAAAAGCAGTATGGAGGTTCCTCAAAAATTAAAGATGGTTGAGCGGCTGAGGCAGAAGGATTGCTTGAGCCCAGGAGTTAGAGACCAGCCTGGGCAATGATGTTTTGTGGAGATGGAGACCCCACACACACACAAAAAAAAAACCTTAAAAGTTAACCAGGCAGGTTGGCACACACCTGTTGTCTCACCTACTTGGGAGGCTAAGATGGGAGGATCGCTTGAGCCCAGGAGTTTAAGGCTGCAGTGAGTTCTGATTGGTCACTGTGCTGCAGTCTGGGTGACAGAGTGAGACCTTCTTTCTTTAAAGAAAAACAAAGTGGGGAAATTCTGTAGAAGGTTGTTCTCAGGGACCCAGAAAGACTTTACTGGCAGTGGATCACGTGACTGAATAAGAAACAGAAGTTTAAATGTTGTTCTGGTGCCTTCCCCATGCTGCATATTTTAGACATAAACACACCTATTTTCCTTCTATCGTCAGATGCTGAGACTGATTATTATGAGTTCCGGTCTCTATTTCCTCCCCACCGGCTCACCAGCACACATCCCTCTTCTCTTTCCCACAAGCAGACTGGCCAGGGAACACATCCCCTAACCATGTCACATTTCTATTAATAATTCATATCACAAGTGCCCATTTTCCCCCAAGGCTTGCCCATTTCTACAGGATGAGACCCAAGCCGTAGCCTGCTCCCCACCCCTCCCCTCCTGGAGGAGCCTCCACTCAACGTGGAAGACCACCGCTTCTGCCCCTTAGACTTCAGAATATTTGATGTCAGACATTGTAACTTTTGACCACTGGTCTAGATGATCTGCCCAGATACTTGTGATCGGCACCTTGGCCCTTCTCTTCTGCGTTCCTAGCAGGTTCTATTAGCAACTGAGAAGTGGAAGGTGGCTGTAAGACACAACCGCCCCTGACATGCAGACCCAAATGATAGCACATCAGCAGGGACCTGCCACATGCAGTTTGTCTCCCCATTTTGATCAGCAGGGACCTGCCACATGCAGTTTGCCTCCCCATTTTGTCAAATCCCATTACACATCCTCCTCCTCTAGGGCGCAGAAGTGGGGCCCCAGCAAATTGAAACCAGAGCCACTTGTCTTTCCTTCTGTGATGCCAGTAGGAACCGAGAGGTCTGGATCAATAATGTGACTTGCTGTCATGATTTTTGTTTTGATGATTTTCAGTCTGAACAGTAATACAAACAGTGTCGCATAGATATTGAGCAACTTAAACCTTATTTACCATATCTGGCTCCATTATTGGAATAAGTTGGAGACTCTGACTCCACAAGCTAATTGGCTGCCACTTAGGGAAGCCTGCACAGCCCCTAGAGAAGAAAAAAAGAAGTGCCCACACAGATTTGAAAGGCCGTTACACGAATCCACATAGCAATTCGTGTGTGACTCTCATCACATGGAAGAATTTTTATTCTGGAACTCCAGTGATTCCTCAATTCCTCTCCTGGTGCGCATTTTTATCATTTTCATTAGATTATTTTCTCGGAGCTGAAATCACAATGTTATTTGTGTTAGGTCTCAGAGTGAAGATGTCACTGCTGTTAAATGTTTATTGGACTTGCTCCATCTTTTCCAAATTTAACAACTTGATTGTCACCAGGGAAGAAAGATTGTGAGCTTGTTGTTGCAGATAGATGTTATAATTAAATTTGAATAACACAACAATGCTCTTCCTCCTTGACTGTCTGCCCCTCTTCATGCAGCTCGCATGCTCTGATTTATATGTAATCATCTATATAATTTTTTCGTTATATGTGTTCTGTTCTTACTGAAGCACATAATGTCATAGGCCTGTTTTTTCAAAGGGAAGATATCTGAATTACAAAAGGAAGATCAGTTTATACGCAAAACTGATCTTGTTATAACTAAATGAAAAGTGATTATACATGTAAAGAAAGTTGCTAAAATATAAAATGAACTAGAACTCGAAGATCTAAGAAATTAACTCATAGGCCAGGCACAGTGGCTCACGCCTGTAATCCCAGCACTTTGGGAGGCCGAGGCGGGCCGGTCACCGGAGGTCAGGAATTCAAGACCAGCCTGGCCAACATGGGGAAAACCATCTCTACAAAAATACAAAAATTAGCTGGGTATGGTGGCGCACGCCTCTAGTCCCAGCTACTCAGGAGGCTGAGGTGGAAAAATCCCTTGAACCCCGGAGATGGAGGTTGCAGTGAGCTGAGACCATGCCATTGCATTCCACCCTGTGTGACAGAGTGAGGCTCCATCTAAAAAAAAAAAAAAACAAAAAAGAAGAAGAAAAAAGAAATTAGCTCATAATGATGCATACAGTATGATATGGTACGTTATGTTTGGACTATTCATAACAAAGAGGTATTAGACATCAATCCACTTCATGTCCTCGGCATTGTTAGTTACTAGCTGTGTTACCTGGAGTGAGTTTCCTAACCTCTGTCTCACTTTCCTCATTTGTTAAGATGGGCATAACAACAGACCCACCTTGTAGGGTTTCCTAAGGATTCAATGGCACATTGTATGTCAAGTGCTCAGCAAGCATTTAATACGGTGGAGATTATCATTATCATTGTTATCATTACTGAAGGATTCTTAAAATCCTAGGCAATGAGAGAAGCACCCTGAAGACCATCTGTCTTTACCAACTCACTCAAACCAGTTAGAAGAGAGTCATGTCTTCTAAATATACACATAACATATGTTCATTATTTTTCATATATAAAGCAGTTTCTAAAAGCCACAGAACAAAATTTAAAATACCTAAAGCCTTTCATCCAGAGGCAAGCACAGTTCACATTTTAGCATGTCCTGAATTTTTCCTATAAACCCGTTGCCAAAAGTTTAATCACACCACGTTTCCTGTGGTTTGACAGAATATTTTTATGTTATGAAATACTCATCTGCAACATCATTTCTAGTGCTGGCTAATTTTCTCCAGCCTAGATGGGTCTTTCGTATTTTGTCCCTTCTCGGTGATTTCTCTTTGCGGTGGATCTAGCAGGTCAGCAGGGAAGGGGTCTTTCGCTAATGCCAGTGAGTGTCCGTCTGAGGACAAGACGTTGGAGGATGAAGGAGACGGGGTAAGCTTACAATGTTTCCAGCCCGAGCTAAGCCCTGATCACGTTTAAAGCAGCAACAATAAAAACAAGTATGTGGTATTAGTTTTCCCTTCTCCCGACTCAGGGTTACAGCGTGGTGCCGAGGCTGACCTCATTCCACAGCCTCCCGAGGGCTGCCCACACATATTATGCAGTCAGCAGGAGTCTTCCTGTGGGGACCACAGGCCCTGGGACATGGAGGGCACCATCAAAACTATTCCAGGGGCCATAATGTGATTTTCTTCCCCCTGTTCCCACATGTTAGGGGAAACTAACAAGCCCATCCGTTATCAGGAGTCACATGAGCACCTTTTTTTTTTTGCATTTAACACAAGGGGTTTTTTTGTGACTGAAGGAGCTACCTTTGGAAAACTCCCAAGGAGATGGATGCATTTATCAGAGACGAGCGAAGGTTTGCATTTTAAAATGCAGAAATGGAGAATCTTTTGAAGATGAAGCAACACCTAATGCTTCTTCCTGACCACATCGATGCTAGAGTTAGATTGGCAGCTCTAGGATCTGAACCAGTCATTTCCAAAGAAAGGCTCATTCTCAGGATTTCCTAAGCTGCCCCCTAGGAGTGATTCTGGCCATGCCAAGTGCAATTCTACAACAGGAACTCACTCGATCACCCTGTTTAAACAATTCACCCACGTGCTGGTTTGATTTTAAGCCTTTGTAAGTAAGTGAAAATACACAAATCATCAGTGATCAATAGAATATGGTTCATAAGATCAAACAAAAATGTTAATACAAGAGAGTTGATTTTCTATCACTATCATCAAAAAATCTTTCATTCAGATAATGATGTTAACATCTGTAATGTGAACCAATGATAGCTGAAAAGGAAAAAGAATGGCGAAACTGTTATGTGTACTGGAGTTTTAAAAAGTATATCACTGTTTTCAGTGAAATGAATGCACTCCCTGAAACTAATGAGATTTGTGTTTTATGTTTGTAACCAGCAGAGATCGTTGACGGTGATGAAAGACTGGATGGTATTTCTCTCCCACCAACAGGTAAATAAAACGCATTTACATTTTCATCACCCCCTGGAAAATGCAGCCCACAAAAATATTCACATTGAAAATGATTTTCACATGAGACGTGCACAGGCTTGAGCAAAGTGCTTCTGCGCTGGACCCAAACGCTGGTCACTGGAGCTTCTCAAGGCCCCGTACTCAGAGATGTTTTTCACATTCTATAGAAAAAGCATGAAATGCTACCTTTTTCTCACACTCTTATTTTCATAAAAATCTCAGAAGAGCAAATCCTAAGAACTAAGCATGACAACACTTTGCCTCCCCAAACCTTTGGACATTACAAAATATTTTTAACATGAAATGAGATTTCACTTTAAAACAGGGACCGCTAATTTTGTGTGATCAAATTCATGGCTAGTCTGTCCTCTCTCGCCTCCTCCAAAGGGCCTCAGAGCCTTGAGCAGTCAGTCAGTGGACACCCAATGAATACTGTGTTTTGAGTGATTTGATCAAGGCCAGCCCCCCGGCATGAGTGGCACATTCCTAATACCAGGACCCGATCAGCTGAAGACATCCTTCCATGAAAGCGTTTGCTGCCCGCTGTTGTGTTAAGCCATAGACATAATTCCAGCTTCATATTATCTGACTCTCAAGTAATGCTTCTGACCCTGGCTTCCTACCTGTGTGTGGGTTTGTATCTAAGAGCCAGAGGGGTAGGTGTCTGATCCGTGAGCCTTGTGGAAAACAATTTATTCCCTCCATTGGTCACAGGACTCTACTGACTGCCCTCAAAAGGATATCTGAAGATTCTCTGTCCACAAAACCCAGATACCCCCCTAAAACCCTCCTACTGAAAAAGCTCAGCCAAATGTTTTTTCATCTAGATTCGGGGTGGTCTGTTTTAATTAAATTCAGCAAATAGGCCGGGCACAGTGGCCCACTCCTATAATCTAGCACTTTGGGAGGCCAAGGCAGGCAGATCACAAGGTCAGGAGTTCAAGACCAGCCTGACCAACATAGTGAAACTCCGTCTCTACTAAAAATACAAAAAATTAGCCAGGTGTGGTGGCGCATGCCTGTAATCCCAGCTACTCAGGAGGCTGAGGCAGGACAATCACTTGAACCCAGGAGGCAGAGGTTGCAGTGAGCCTAGATCACACCACTGCACTCCTGCCTGGGTGACAGGGCAAGATTCCATCTCAAAAAAATATATAAATAAATAATAAGTTTATTTAGCAAGTATTAGTGAAGTCTCTAGGCTGTGTAGGAACTACACTAGGCCATGTGTTCATTGACAGCAGATATCCCAAAATGGCAAGGAAAGCCACGTTCACAGGTGTAGGATGGGTATGTGTTAGTGAACTTCAGAGCAACAGGAAATTTCAGCTGTGTAAGTAACACATTGCTTTCTCTGCCACCAAGTAGCTAAGCAACAGATCGATGGACAGATAAATGAAATACGCTGCATAGGGCAAAAAGACCTGCTTGCGTCAAGTTCTTTCCGTATATTGCCACCACATAAAAGGAATTTCTCTTCTTATTTGGCTGTGTTTCCACATTTGTGAATTAAGAGAATTGAAATACGTGATCTCTGTTGTTCCTTCCCAATCTGTCATTCTCTGAATATCAGGGCCCTCATATCAGTCTCATTCTTATCACCTGGCCTGTTCCCAGCAGATGTATGAAATCCTAATCATAGTAGACCTGCCCTTCAAAAGGCCCTTCAGGGGAGCACCATTCAGGGGAGCACCATGCCTTTCTAGCTGTGCTTCCCGAGTGCCATCCCCCTCCTCCGCCCCGGGCATCTGCACTGCCTGTCCTCTCTGTGTCATGTGACACAGTGGGCTTTTATGATTTGAAAACCACTCCCCTTGAAGTTTATATTCACCTCCAAGTGGTGAATACAGAATGCCTTTGTATTTTCCCATCTGAAGATGGAGGTAGAGATCTTTCCGATGAGAAAATTGAGCTCAGAGGGAAAAAAAAAAATGTCAAGGAATCCGAGAATGAGAAGGAATGTGAGAGATCACCTAGTCCAATCCCTTCTTTTTATCCAGTTCTTTTATTTTACAGGAAAAAAAGCCTGAGGCCCAGAAACATTAAGTGACTTTCCCAAAGTCTCAGCTGGTTGATGGCCTGGCCGGAACCCGGGTCCCTCGACTCCCAGCCATGATACCACATAGCTTTCTCATACCTAAGCCAAAGCCAGCTTTTCTCTGCATGTTTCTGAGAGATCCTGAGATAACAGATGTACCAATCCCCTTAGGAGTCCACTTTTGCTGTCTCAGTCTTCACAGTTAAATGTTTGTCGTCGGCCCAGTTCACTGCAGCTTAAATTTATTTCTTCCAGCCTTTTCTCAACCTTTACCCAAGGCTGTGAGGTCATGATTAAGAAAACAGTATAACACAGCTACAGGTCTTCTCACTAAACTACTGATAGATATTTGATACAAATCACTAAGCAGCATGATAAATAAAAACATTTGTCATTTAGAAAAGGGGAAACGAAGTTGCATATTGGTGCTCGAACCTTGCAGTAACAAAATTAAAGAATCTGGATAGTCTAGCATGTCTCTTGATTGCCTCCAAAGCAAAATTCCCATTCTGATTGGCTTCTTTGAACGCAGTGCTGCTGCTAACAGGTGCCCTCTAAGAATGCCACCTTTCTTACACACGTGGCTTCATCCTTGAGCTTGAGCCTCACTGGTCAGAACCACAGAAGCGACCAAGGTCTCTGAAACAGACTCTCATCCCATTTATCCAAGCTAACAACAGTTAGTTCTTTTTCAGGATTCAACGATGCTTTTATTACTTTTGTGAGGTCTTCTTTCCTCCTTCCAAATTTGTGTGCTTTGGAGGAAGGCAGGGAACGGGGCGTAAATCCTTAAGTGTCTCTATGAACCAGAAGTGATGAGGGCAGAGTTACAGGCAGAAGGTCAGATGACATTTGTCTGGATCATTACATTTAAGCAACCTCTGTTTGTCAGGTTTTAACACAAATGGATGCACCATCTATATTTGTGTCTATTTTATATTCCCTTAACCCTATTCACTAAGCCTTTTTGGGCAGCCACCAGGATGAGCCCTGTGTTGAGTGCTGGCCTACAGATGCCCTCAGACTAGTGTGAGAGACAGAAAGAATGACATAAATGCCTCAGCACAGATGTGTGGAGAGGGCCTGGGGCTCAAGAAAAGCCACTCAGGAGCTGGGGACAATTCGCATTAAAAAAAAAAAATTACAAGCCGGGCACGGTGGCTCAAGCCTGTAATCCCAGCACTTTGGGAGGCCAAGGCAGGTGGATCATGAGGTCAAGAGATCGAGACCATCCTGGTCAACATGGTGAAACCCCGTCTCTACTAAAAATACAAAAAATTAGCTGGGCATGGTGGCACGTGCCTGTAATCCCAGCTACTCGGGAGGCTGAGGCAGGAGAATTGCCTGAACCCAGGAGGCAGAGGTTGCAGTGAGCCAAGATCGCGCCATTGCACTCCAGCCTGGGTAACGAGAGCGAAACTCTGTCTAAAAAATAAAAAAAATTTTTAAAAAAAAATTACAGAGAAAGTGAAATCAAAACAGTGCTTTCTAAAATTTAAAATTGGGCTTTCAAATTTGAAATGGAGGGTGTTCGTCTGGACTTAGCAATTGTCATAAATGGACGTTTTACATGCTTTTCTTTTCAAAAATTAATAAAATGTAAGGAGGAACATTGCTTTTACCATCCACAAACAACCATTATTGGATGATTTTTCTCAAATGTTTCTCCATTTTATTTATTTATACTCGGAGATCAAACATGTAAAAGTTTGTTTCCTAAGCTTTTTTTATTTTTAACTTAACAAGGATTTTTCCACTTTATGGCAAATCTTCATATGCATTATTTTAATAGCTGTATGATGTTTCGTTTTGCAGGTAAATTATATTTTATTAGGCCATTTTCTATTACTGTACAATATGTGGATATACTCTAACAGTAACACACATTCATGGGTTTTCTCTTAAGAAACAATCATGGCCGGGCGCGGTGGCTCAAGCCTGTAATCCCAGCACTTTGGGAGGCCGAGGCGGGTGGATCACAAGGTCAAGAGATCAAGACCATCCTGGTCAACATGGTGAAACCCCGTCTCTACTAAAAAATACAAAAAATTAGCTGGGCATGGTGGCGCGTGCCTGTAATCCCAGCTACTCAGGAGGCTGAGGCAGGAGAATTGCTTGAACCCAGGAGGCGGAGGTTGCGGTGAGCCGAGATCGCGCCATTGCACTCCAGCCTGGGTAACAAGAGCAAAACTCCGTCTCACACACACACACACACACACACACACACAAAAAAAAAAAAAAAAAAAAAAAAAAAAAAAAAAAAAAAAAAAGAAACAATCATTACAGATTTCAAATTTCTACAATTGCTCATGGAAGACTGCTAAAGCCTTGGCTAAAAACTTAGTGGCTTCACTCTGAAAGAGATACTTCCCCAGTGAATTCTTTGCTCATCCAGAACACCCACCTCCAGCCATGTCACAGAAACATGTACAACTTTCCTTAGAGAAGCGGCTCTCCCCCTTCATTTTCTTGTCTCTGTTGTAGGTAATATATATGACACCAGGAGAGAAAACACGGAGGACACAGAACCAGGTTTCATTGCCTAGATTTTGATTTTAGTGACACTGTTCAGTGGCATACGTAACTTCCGTTTGAATTTCCGAAAAGATCCACGTAGCATTTCAGGTTCCTGCAAAGTGTGGGTGTTCTGTGAAGTTTACCTGTCATGTTGAATCGTCTCCTATACTTTCTTTGTAATGTGTGATAATCAAGCCTCCGACTGGGTGTAAGATTTCTAAAATCATTTTTCGGGTTGATTTCTTACCCTTTAAAAGCCCAGCGTATGATTCAGTTAGTTCATTGTCCACTATAAAGAAGTGGTTCTCTCTTCCCTGTTGTCATTCAAAACCTCAATGTGAATATATAGAGCTTTGAAACATATTTATTTTAATGTAACTTGCTTAGATGCAGTATAAAGGAGCATGGTTCTTTCCAGTGCTGAGAGAGCAGTTGTGAAGGCCAAAATTAATTAGACCTTCATCATCTTGAAAGATGAAAAAGTTGTTTTGGGAGACAGGATACCTCTGACCCATGAGATGAAAGCATTCATGACATCAGTGCCCCCCAAATGGCCATTTGTAACTGAGTATGTGCAAATGACCTGTGAGTCCTTAGGAAAGAAAAGCCTTTTCACCTAAGTTGCATCAACACAATGACAAAATAACTAATGAAAAGGTGAGAAAATCAATCAATCATCTGCATGATACCTAACAGCCATTTTAAAAAACAGATGGTTTTAACTGAGTGGTCCAGGGTTTTGGCACCATGTGGAAACTAGCTAAAAATGTACTTAATATCATTTACTTGGTTCCCAGTATACTTGCCCTCTGCTTTATATAAAACGAATATATGAAAATCTGGATTTATTTTTAAAAGGTATCTTGCCATGAAGGCATTTGTTTTATAGAAATATTTGCCTTCAGATTTCTTTCTCTAATAAGATGGTGAATTTAAAATACTGTGTTATTTAGAAACAGTGCATTTAGACTTCCTTTATTGTATAAAGCAAATTGCATTGGATCTTTGCCACTTGACCCAAAGGCCAGAAATTGGCATGAAAACAATTTGGACTGCCAATCACCAAACCCAGGGTTCACACCTGCCTACTGGCAGTTCCAGTGCCTTCCCCTAGCCGTGGATTTAGCAAAGCATAGAATGTTAAGAGCTAAAAGTTACTGTAGAGACTACTCAGTCCCACCCCTCGTTCCGCAGGTGGGGATGAATGAGGGTAAGCTATTGCCAAGGGCCCGTTAATCCCTCAGTGGCCTGGGCCCTGCCTAGAACCCCAGTTTCCTGACTACCCTGTCCAGGGTGGTCACATCACAGTGTCACATCACACTGAAACGCTAAACCTAGAGATAGGAGGGGATGCTCTGGGATAAATCCCTCTTCCACCAAAGACCAGCTAGTCATCAAAGGTGACAGAAGGCATCCCTGTGCTGTGACAAAAAGCTGGCCTTTTGTGGAATTCATCTAACTAGTAGACAAGTTATGTCTCATCTCTGTGTGTCTTATTTTTCTTCTTTTGGGGGCTACAAGGAAGGTTTGGAGAAATTATTCCCACCATACCTTTCCTTAACCTTTTTCCATTTCTGGCCAGTAAACAATCCCTTTCCTGAAAACAGTCTCTTTGTTTTATCCAGTGGTCAGATGAAGTCCTGCAGCCAGGGACTCTTGTGTTTTTTTGCAGCATGGGTTTTAAAATATGTCTTCTGACTCCCAGAAGGAAGTATTACCCAAAGGAAGGGAAAAGATTAATTAGTGACCTTTCACTCTGTTAAAGTAGGATGAGTAGGTTGCCAGTAAAGGCAGAAACACTAACTCCCAACTGTGGTCTGTTAGAGCTTCGCTGGGAGCTTCAGAAGCAGGGTCTTCCAAGGCAGGGCCACGGCTTGGAGGATGGGTGGGCTTGAGGCTTGTTCATCTCACAGCTATGAACAATGAATGGCTTCACACATTGGAAATACATATCCAAACTGCAACAGTAAAATCATATTTTGTAAATTAAAATTGTTTACTTACAGTGACTACTGTTCAGACTTTATTCAGAAATCCTTTTTATAGGCTTTCTTAGCAAAAAAAAAAAAAATCCATATCTGTGGATAACGTCTCAATCTTCTGTATATATGTTTTATTAATATGTAAATATTTAATTTTTTAAAATTACTATGTTCTTTAAAAAAGACTTCCATGCGAGCCTAGTTGTGAAGATGGTGTATAACATCGTGTTGTGATCTCAGTTCCCAAGATGCTGTTTATGTCCGTTCTGGAAGAACACAATAAATACTTTAATTGAACGTGCGTGCGGATCTTGACTGTGTGCCTAAGTGTTTATGGAGAGAAGTCAATGCTGTTCATTAATTAAAAGGTATTATTAAAACTCTGATGATGTCCCACAGAAGTTATGTCTCCTGATGAAGTTAATTTAAAAAAAATAAAGAAACATCCTAGATTGCTGCCGGGGTGAGAGCCTGCAGACGCTGGGAAGGCTGTGTCTGGCGGTTAGATCAATGACTACGGCAAGTCCCACAGAAACACTTGAGCGTTAAGTACTGAGATGCTTGAAGCCTAATTTTAAATGAATTAGGTAGCTTTATAATCTTCGCTTAAAAGGTTAAGCCCTGCTTCTATGGAAACAGCACATCAGAAGGACGAATCAATCCTCTCCGATGCACAGCGGCTGGTGCCGCAGAATCGCTCGCTTCCCGTCTCCGAACAGAGGGGGGCGCCGCGCCGCGCCGGGCACCTGCCCGCAACCCGCGCCTCCCGCGGGCGTGCTCGGCCGCCTGCTCGGAGCCGGCTGCACCGCGGCATGGAATCCGGCTCCATCGGGGCTTCGGTTCAGGGGCTGACTCTGGGGCCCTGCTTTTAGAGGGCCCCGAGACAGCTGTGAGGAGAGGCGGGAGGGGGCGGGCAGGAGCTGCTGCCTAGGAAAGCACCCGCACCTGGGCAGGAAGCCCCAGGGCGAGCTGTTGCAGAAACACGTGGGCTCCAGCCCGCGAGTCTTGCAGGCGTCCACGCTGCTCTGAAGCTGGAGCCTGGTTCCCTCGCCTCTGCCCTGAGGCCTCCAGCTTCCTGGGGTCCCTTGGGTCAGGGGCCCACGTCGTATCTTTTGGCCCAAGGCCTCTGGGATGCCCTTGATCCCACAGGCTAGCAGGGGTGGGTGCTTTGTAGGTATCCAACAGCCCAAAGACCTCTCTAACCCAATGGCCAGGAGACCCCATTTGCACACTTGACTCCGTTGTCACCTCTCGTGAATACGAGAGGTGAATACGTGTCACCTCTCCCCCACCCAGCCCCCACTCAGGGATCTGGGGACACAGCTGGCTCCTTTCCCAGCAGCATCCGAGTTCAGCGGCACCATTTACTGAACACCAACTGGCCAGACACTGTGGGTGTTTTAGGGCGACCGCTTTCCGGATAAAAGGGAAAAGAGGGCGAGAAGTGGGGGCGGGGGCACGTCCTGGCAGTGAACTGTGCCAGGCTTGCACCATCCCCAGGGGCTGGGACGGTGTGGGCAGCCGCGGAGCATCCGAAGTGAATGGTCTTGATCGGATCCGCCGGGCCGAAGCAGGGAGCATTCGCAGGAGGCAGGGCGGGGCTGAAGACAGCGGATCCCGTGAAGAGGCTATTGGGAGAGGCCCAAAGCCCACAATGCCACACCTGAGAAAGAATCAGCTCTGGCTGGAGCAGGGAGAACAAGCCACAGCTGACAACAGAGATTTCCGGCTGGGGAACCAGGAGGGATGTCACTTGCTCTCACTAAGGAACACGGGTGTGGCGATTTGGAGAAGACAGGTGAGTTACTCCGCTCGTTCATTCATACATTCATTCATACATTCATTCCACAGGTGCTTGTGGTGGGCCCTGCACCGTTCTGCTGGGTGGGAGTGCAGCGGCGAACCAAACAAGTCCGTACTCTTGCAGAGCTCACCAAGACACTGTCACAAGAAAAGGGACAGAGGGCGGAACCCCGGGGGGACAGCAGCACACAGGCTTGCCCATGTTCCTGAGCCAGAGAGTAAGCTGAAACAGGAGCTTGGTCCCAAACCAGTCAAGCCTTCAAGCACCATTCATTCCTCATAAGTTAGATCTCAGCTGCACTTCACCATCAGAGAGGGCTTCGCAACTTCCCCACGCCAGGCTCCACTGAGTCACAGTCTCTTGCTCTTCACGTCGCTTGCCTGTCTCTGAAATTATCTTGCTTATGTATGTGTGTGTTTATCACTCATCTTTCACGCACTGGAATCTAAGCCTTGTGATGTCAAGCTGTTAAGATTGCGGGCCCTGGTGAAGACACGTTCAGGATGCTCTCTCTCCCCTTTGCCCAGCAAGAGTTGGACTAATTAAAGTTGGACCTGAGGTTTTTATTAATATGCAACTGAGTCATTCTGATGACAGTGACTCGTGGCCTCCTGGTTCTGCCAGTTACAGGAAGTGACCCCCCTTCTCCCATCAGCCCAAAGCCAGAGCCTTTATCCCAGAACCCGAGAGTGAGGGGAGGGTCGGGGTTGCTGGGCAGTGGCCGTGTAGTGGAAGGGAGCATGAGCCTTTTCCTGCACTCTTCTTCCCCCTATAGCCCATTTCTTAGATCACTTGGACTTGCCGTTTCCCCTAAAACCTCCCCACCGCTGCTCTTCGTAATTGGAGAAATTGTTTCAATAGATGGACCAAAGAGATGCAGGTTGCACTCGATGAGAATTTAGTAAATGCTAGTGATTCAGAGCAACTTGAATTTACACAGATCAACTCCTATTATGTTTTGTAACCTCAAACACATGAAATTGATTATCCCCCCTAAAATAAGATATACAGATATGTATATTATTTGTATACATATAAACAAATATGTGTATACATATTTGTATATAAACAAATATACATATTTGTTTATATGTATAAACATTGCTTATTTTATTATCGGTGAAATTAAAAAGAATGTTTAAATGAAAGTTTTAAAAAAAGAATATTCTAGAAATGGAGCATAGCATGGTAGTGCCCCACATATTTTACACACATTGGTATTCCAGATAGACCTGATAGTTAAAGGCCTCTTTAATTGCTTTCATTTTGGCCATTTTGGACTGTTCACTGAAAAATAGAAAGACATTTTGAACCTAAACTTTGAAACGAAGCTACTTTATCATTCCTTTAAAATGCTTTCCAAAGTGAAGCTGATAGAAGCGTGATCAATGAGGGAGTGGTCCGAAACCAGCTGTCTGGACTTCTGTGTGTGCGTATCCTCCAACACAGTGCCCAAACATTCGAAACATGGAGTGCCTTCCATGCCAGCATGGAGTGAAAATCAATTTTACAAGGGAAATGAAGCATCCTGAGCTGTTTTGATGAAGCGGCAGCCCAGGTGCATATTCAGTTAGAAAAACTATTTTCTGCTATGCTCTAGCAATGGAGGGAAAAAGCGAATACATTAAAATAGAGGATACTTACTCCGTGTATTATCAAATTAAGTACCCTCCAAAAAGGATGTATTTCTAACCACTGGACAGAGAACATCAGAAGTGACTGAATTAGCAAGACGCAGGCTAAGCCCATCCGCCCTGGTGCTGCACATGGTAACGGTGCCCTGTCCTTCTGGGAAATATTTCACTAGTGTGAAGCTATGCCACCTCCCCCTGCTGCCTCTCACGGATGCTTCCTAGAACACGAAATGATGGCCACAGGCAGCTTTGACGCTTGTTAAAATTTTGTGTTTGTTTCTATCATTATACCATGCTGTGTTCAAGCGTGTTTTTCCTTCCTACCTGGCCCCTTCATATTGCCTGGCAACAATAACCACAGCCGGTTCCTCCCGTGCCTTGCCCAGGGGCATAAGTTCACTAGTCACGGCAGAGTGGACATATTTTAAATGTCTGACTGACTCCCGGACACTGGCTGGACGCTGACACCTGGCTAGGAGCCTGCATACACCATGACCCTGTCGTTATGACAGCATACAGCTTTAGAAAGTGAACACTCTCAAAGACCAAGACACAACTTTTGATGAGAAAGCATCCAGTGATGGCTGGGCGCGGTGGCTCAAGCCTGTAATCCCAGCACTTTGGGAGGCCGAGGCGGGCGGATCACGAGGTCAAAAGATCGAGACCATCCTGGTCAACATGGTGAAACCCCGTCTCTACTAAAAAATACAAAAAATTAGCTGGGCATAGTGGCGCGTGCCTGTAATCCCAGCTACTCAGGAGGCTGAGGCAGGAGGCAGAGGTTGCGGTGAGCCGAGATTGCGCCATTGCACTCCAGCCTGGGTAACAAGAGCAAAACTCCGTCTCAGAAAAAAAAAAAGAAAGAAAGAAAGCAAGCATCCAGTGACTTTGGAATGAGGAGGAGGTGGTAGAAGTTGGCGAATTTAGTCAAAGCCGTGGGAAAGACTGAATGCAGGTGTATTTGTCCATTTTCACACTGCTATGAAGAAATACCTGGCTGGGCGCGGTGGCTCACGCCTGTAATCCCAGCACTTTGGGAAGCCGAAGCGAGTAGATCATCTGAGGTCAGGAGATTGAGACCATCCTGGTGAAACCCCATCTCTACTAAAATTACAAAATTACAAAAAATTAGCCAGGCATGATGGTGCGCGCCTGTAGTCCCAGCTACTCAGGAGGCTGAGGCAGGAGAATCGCTTGAACAGGGAGACAGAAGTTGCAGTGAGCCGAGATCCCGCCACTGCACTCCAGCCTGGGCAACAGAGTGAGACTCTGTCTCAAAAAAATAAAAAGAAAAAAGAAATATCCAAGACTGGGTAATCTATAAAGGAAAGAGGTTTAATTGACTCAGTTCCACATGGCTGGGGAAGCCTCAGGAAACTGACAGTCATGGCAAAAGGTAAAGGGGAAGCAAGGACTTTCTTTACAAGGTGGCAGGAAAGAGACAGAATGAAGGAACTGCCAGACAGAAACCGTCAGATCTCGGAAGAACTCACTCACTATCACGAGAACAGTTTGGGGGAAACCACCCATGATCCAACCACCTCCCATCAGGCCCCTTCCTTGACACGTGGGAATTACAATTCAAAATGAGATGTGAGTAGGGACACAGAACCAAACCATATCAGTAGGAGAAAAGCCCCCACCCCAGAAAAATGCTTTAAAAAGTGTGAGACAGTGGCTGGGTGCAGTGGCTCAAGCCTCTAATCCCAGGGCCTTGGGAGGCCAAAGCAGGAAGACTGCTTGAGGCCAGGAGTTCAAGACCAGACGGGCGGTATAGTGAGACCGTCTTTTCTTTTCTTTTTTCTTTTCTTTTCTTTTCTCTTCTCTTCTTTTTGAGATGGAATCTCACTCTGTCACCC